TATTCTATCAGATCTACCTGAGCGGCAGTGGTCTTCTTTTGCATTTTGATTATACAAAAACCTTCCATTTGTGTGTCGATATATCACCACACACAAGAAAAGGACTATAAGAAGTCCGCTCGCAGACCAGTTTGCAGATCCCTTTGCTCCAGGCACCCCCGCTGACCATCAGGGCCAGCACGTCCCCTTCCCCCTCCGAGGAAGCTTTCTTCCCTTCAAAGGTCAGCACCATCCCGCTCAAACCCGCACCCAGCCGAAGTGTGCTCAGTCCCCGAAGTAGCAGGAAAGTTCTGGATGCCCAGGCTCTGAGTTGGGTCAAGCACTCCCCAAAGATCTGAGCTATACATTTCAGATCTGGCACACATGCTCACGGTCCTGCCAGCCTCCAACCAGGACTGCAAGCTCGCACACTCAAAATCTGTCAGGGGCAGACGCAGTACGACAGGGCGTGTTCATTCATCACCGACAAAGTCACCCAACAGACCCCTGTCCGCCAGCGTGATAGTGCCATCACCGTGAGCACATACCCTCCAGATGGTGCCCAGGACAGCCAAGTTGAATCGTTTCGGGCAGGCCTAAGGGACGACATTTGGTTTGCATCTGAAGTACCCAAGGGCAAAGGCAGAGATGAGTTCAAAGCAGGTGTCTTCCTCATTAGCTTCTGTCCGGATGATGCATGATGATATAATTCCCCAAAGAAAAAATATCCCGCGGTCCCTTCATCTCTCTGCTGGTTTGAACTGGCATCCCAGGGGGGCCCTTTGCCAGCCACTGGGCCTTGGTAGAGTAAGGGAGCGTCTAGAAAGTTTCGTGATGCTGATAAACTGTTCACACCTACATGAACAACAGCCAGTATGTGCTCAGAAGGTCAATGGTTTCTCTTCACTAACGGGCCCTCTTTAACCCTCGTCTGTCACATCCAGGGTAGAGATTAAATAGCGAGTCAGGATCCTGTACGTTAAATGCCAGAAATCCGGCTCAAATGAGCTTAAGCGAGTGGAAACGACTGGCCCCCCAACACCTGCAAAGCGCAGGTGGCCCAGCTTCAGGGCACGTCCCCCAGGCCGTCCGCACTCCTCCCAGCCCTGTGCCCTCACTGTGCGGTCTGAGTCTCGGTGCAGCTCTTCTAGGAGTGGCTTCTGTCCCTCCAGTCTGGTAAAGCCCCCACCCAGAGGTTTCCAGCAGAGGGCACTGGGACTGATGGGTTCAGAATGCATTGGCAGCCTAGCCAGCGCTAAGGCATGGGTGGGGATGGCCTTGCTCAAGTCCCCTGGGCTAAGAGTGAGGGAGACAGTGATGGGCCCTTTGACCAGGAGGAGGAACCTGTGTTGGCAAAAAACAACAGACGTCGACCAGAAAGAGTCCTTCCAAACTTCTCTTTGGGAGAAGCACTTCACATTTTTAGATGAATTATGTCTGTGTTGTCCAAGTTTTACCTGTTCATATTTTTAGGTTTTGGAGTGTGGGGTGGGCAGAAAAGGAAGTGTAGTTGATCAATAAATAGGCAATAATTACCCGCGGATAATTTGCTCGGGTGAGTTGACCCCCTCGGGTCTGCATGATATCTGGGAGCCTGTTACTTTGCAGGATGGGGCCGTTGAGGAGAACAGACCATCCTGGACCTTCTGTCAAGAGCATCACGCCACCCCTCTGAGACGCTCTGCTGTCCAAGTGGGGACAGCACAGGCTGAGGAGCAAATCCCACCAGAAACCGAACTTCTTCCTGAGAAACTTAAGAAGGCGGCTCTGGGGATGTCGGCGCATCTCCTGAAATCCTGCTGCTGGGAACCCATCTGGTGCCATGTTTAATAAACAGGGCCGGCACAGCTGGTCCAGAGCTAGGTCCCCCCACAAAGGTGCAGCCAAGGCAGCAGATGTCTGGGGACACGTGCCTGTTGGGGAATGAAACAGCATGCTCACAGACTGCACGCTTCACCTGTGGGGCCTTGGAACCACACGAGGGAGACATCCACGAGCTCCCAGCCACCGCCAGGGGCGGACCAGCCTGCTTCTCTCCTCCACTCTGGTCTCCAGCCCACGAAGGCTCTCGAGGTGACAAGGGGGTGGGGGGTGAGGGGCAGGGAAGGGACGGGGCAGCCTGGCCGGCTCCTGACGGACACAGGCCTCCCTCAGCAGAGGGCCATGGGAGCCAAGCATGGAACACAGCAATCCTCGTTCTGAGAGGAAAAGGCAAGCGACAGCACCCTCCAAAGGGAAGAGAGAATACAGGAAGGGAATACAAACACGTTATTATTCTCTGAACCAGAGGTGAACACTTAGTTCCCCAGAAATAGTGCCAGCTGTCCTCATGAGCCCCACAGACAACACGGTGCTCAGAAAGTGCTATAAGTCACAGGGAGTGAGCTCTAAGCCCACTCAGGGTCCGTCACTGAACCGCCACCAGCCCTGGCCACCTTATTATTAAACACGTGGGGAGAATGACGGCAGCCGTCCTGGCTCACAGCCCGGAACGAGGCTCAAGCAGCATCTTTCATCTCCTCACTCACTCAATAAACAGTTACCGTGTGCCCACAGAGTGCCAGGCCCTGCTCTAGGCACGGGATGAATGGGAAGGAGACTCAAGCTGCGATAGGGGTTAGCAGCGTCCACGTTTGAGTGCAGAGATTCGCCTCTAACAAAACCCAGGGAAGCACAGTCCTGGAAACCTCAGGTGGGCTCCATGTGCTTCAGAAGGGAGCTTCCCAGGGCAGGCGGGTCAGACAGGCATGCTTCTCACAGCTTCTGCTTTGCTCAGTCCCCAAAACGCCCGGCCTTCTTCCCTTAGGCTCCTGTCCCATCCCAAGGATGGGAATGCCTGCCCTGCCCCTTCCAGCCCTGTGCTCCCTGCTCACCAGCTCAAGGGCAGCCCCTGCACTGGGGAGGCCAGGGCAGCCCCTCTCACTGCCCATTAGCGGCAGAGTCGGGTTAAAGTCCCTCCTTCACCAAAGTATGGATGCAGGTGCCCACTAACTGCACTGGGGAGAGAAGTGAGATCCCAGCCCTTGCTGAAAAACAAGCTTAAAATTCTCCAAATAGTAGAAATTCCTTAAAAGTAGATGGTAAAAGCAATACGGCAGAACACTGCCTAAATATTCATTAGAAGCCATAAGTGGATACACCGTATCAATGCGTGAAAATGTGTACCAGACACTTTTAGGGGAAAGAGGACCAACAGTACCTCTCTCTCACAGACCCTCCCCGCCCCCCGCCCAAGAAGTGTGCTAAACACCTGGGTGAGGTGGAAAATGCACGGCACCAGGGTCAGGAGGCCCAAGTCCAGGGCAGGCTCAGACGCCCACAGCCTTGCGTGTCGGGCGAGTCTCTCCTGCGCCCTCTCCCTGACTGTAAACAGGCACAGCGCCCTGGAGGCTCAGAGATGACACGAGAGAGGATTTTGTACCACAAAACCACAGTGCTATTAGGACTGTGGGTAAATGTGTTGATGAGGGTCGGAAGACGGAGGCAAAATAAAGAATTTTAAGTTTATGGAATTGTTTGGTTAAATTGTCTAATTGTACAGCATCCATTTAAAAATTTTTATAGTATCTTAGCCGAAAAAAACATGGAGCCCAATTCCTCTACAAGATACTACTGTGTGGGTCAGGGAAATGGCACAGAACAGAAGGAATGAGTTCTCAGGCTCACGTCCCAGAAAGAGGCGAGGTGCGGGCTTCCCCTCTCCTCCTGGAGCCTGTCTCACCCCCCCCCACACACCCAGACCAGGAGGACCTTCTCTGCCATCACATCCTGAGTCGTCCCCCCGGCGCAGACAAGCAGCTGGGGCCCTGGTACAGGAATCTGGGTGGCTGTGTGGATGCAGCTGGCATCCACTCCAACAGTCCCTGGGCCTGAACATCCCTGCAAACATGCCTCTGACACCCAGAGAAACCGACCTACTGGGTACCTATGCAAAGAACCAGGAATATAGAAAGAAGGAGATGTGGCCCTGTCCTTAAAAAGCTCACAACCCAATGAGTTTTGACATCTGTCTGAATATTCTCGAAATGAACACACTTCAGTGAAAAACTCCCAACAGAGGCAGGTGCCTCTTCAGACAAGTACTCTGAAACTGGACTCCTCAAGTTTGTGTACCGGCTGCCGACTGTCTTACGGAAAGAAGGGAAGCTTCCAAAGGAAGTGGTGGTTTCTAATACTGTGGAGCTCCAAGCTGCAAGGTGAGCACCGGAGGCCCGGGCTCCAGCCACACACAGCACCACCTCGCAGCTGGGAAAAGCAGGGCCACCACCCGCCAAGGACACCCTGGGTGAGGCCTTCCACGTGTTCTGCCAGCTCTTCAGGAACTGGGCGTCTAGGACCAAATGCTACAGATCAAGAAGACACGGTCGAATGTGATGCCCAAACGCCACGAAATGACCGCACGCTTCAGAGCAAAACCTGCAAAGGAATTTGAACCAGATGTTCAAAAACAGCCTTCCTGGACTAGCAGACACCTTCACCAAGGCAGGGCCATCGAACATGAAGATCCCTGTGTCAGTCATGTCCTCGAGGGAACGTCCCTGAAGCTGAATCGAACCAGCCAGCTTGGCAATGAGACTCCCACCTGAGCCTCGCCCTGCTGATGCTGGGGACGCATTTTAGGGATAAACTCAGTCCCTGCTACTGCAAATCCTTACGTCCGTGACTGACAAATTAAAGGAGGCAGCTGGAGTTAAAATCCAGCCTCTGTGACTGTGACCTGGATGTACGATTTACCTTCGATATGATCTCAAGTATGAAACCCTTATTAATAGCCTTCCCTTTTCACATGTATCACCTAATAAGAGAGCTTTCACTTTTGAAGGATTTGTCTGCCACCCTTGCACAAATACACAGTAACGCCTGATCTCAAATTCAAGTTCCTCCTTTTTGCTGAAGACGACCATGAACCCTCCCTTCCTGAAATTGAGATTCTGAGGCCTAAGCGTCAGCCATTATGCCGCTTGGAGCCCCTGAATGAGCATCTGTCGCTCCAACGAAATAACCACAAGTGCAGGCAGAAGGAGCAGATGTAACCTTTTACTCCACCATTTCCTTCTCCACTTTTCATATTAAATATCTGAAATATATTAATCTTAAAAAACAATATTAACACAGTACTCAATGAATACAGGGAGGGAGTAAACAGCAAGTCTAGACTGCAAAATCGCAGGGTATTTTACAAAGAGTGTGGGTGTGGTCAATTCCAGGTGTTTCCAGCTGACTCGCCAACAGGAGCACTGTGGAATTCTGCGATGTGTCACACCAGGAGAGAAACAAAGCCATATAAAAATATATGCGGCAACGCATTGCTCCATCCTCCGGGAGATGGTCGCGGTACCACAGGCCCTTCATTCAGGTTTAAAGTAACAACACAAGCACTTTTTTTTTTTTTTTTGGTGTTCAGGATTTTCCCCTAACGCCTTCAGTCTCTAAGTAGATTTTCAGGCTTGGGGTAGCCAAAGAGGACGAAATCTGCTTCGTAGAGTTTGTAAAGCTGCTGCCTCCAGGCCAGGGGAATTTTGGCAAACCAACCTTCCTCCCAGCTGCTGGCAGTTCTGTTCCGGTAACTCGGGGGGAACTGGAGCAGCTTGTCCACCTTGAGAAGCCGGAGCAGCTGGGTGGCATCCTGGTCCAGGGTCTCCAGTTTCCCCACAAAGTCGTAGTCTATCTGGCAGGGGTGGCAGAGGCGGTGCACCTGCCTCCAGTGCTCGTTGAAGGGCGCCAGCTTCTCGGTGTGAGGGTCCAGCAGGTACTGGATGAAGTTGGCGAAGGACACCCTGAGGCCTGCACTGAAGGCCTCGCTGACCGACTTGGGCAGGCTGGTGTGGTTGGAGTACCTCTTCAGCATGGGGACGGCGAACTTCTGGTAGAACTCTTCGTTCTCCAGCTCGAACTTGCTGCGGAAGGCCGAGATGAGGCGGACGAAGGGGTCCCGCACGAACAGGAACTTAGTGTACTTTTTCAGCTTAACTTTCATGAGGTGGCGGGAGAACTTCCCGTAGCGGCGCCAAAACTTGTTGAAAGTCAGGTGGGTGCTGGAGTTGTGGACGTACTCCCGGGGGATGTCCAGGGGGTCACGGTAAGGTGTGCCCTGGTCCGAGAGGCTCTGGCTCAGGACGATCATCACGCGCTTCCAGTTGGTGCAGGCCACCTTGGGCACATAGCAGTAGATGACCCCGTGGCGGTCGTCCACGATGAGGTGGTTCAGCTCATAGTTGGGAATGTCATCGAAAGAGCGCTCCTTGGCGGGAAACACAAAGCTGGCGTTGGCGCAGAAGCCCCTCAGCACGCTCCTCCGTTCGGCCTGCCGCCTGTCCGGGTCCGGGCTCTGCTGGGCGTCGTGGCTGGACCAGTCGTAGCCCCTCACACTCTCTTCCATGTTGCTGAGCACAGGCTTGCTGGAGGCCAGCAGGGAGGGCTGCTCCACCTTTCTACCCAGAAGGATGTTCTGCTTCGCATGAGCACTGAGGAGCTTCTCCAAAATCTCCTCAATGCTGGCGGTGAAATACTTGCCATCCCCTGGCTTGGGGCTGGGGAAGGGCTGCAGGATGTGAGGCCTGGAGAGGGAAGTGTGCAGGTACAAGTGGGCGGTGCCCATGTTGTCCCAGTACACGATGATCAAGAGGATCATGAAGACGGACCCCAAGACCAGCCACAGGCGGAAGAACCGGCTTTTGGTCATTGTGTCCATGGATGCGGGGGCCTCTTCCCCGGATCCTTTCACTTCAGCTTCCTGTAGAGACCGGACGCTGCCCTCCGAGGAAGCTGGAAGGCAACAGAAACCAAGTTAAAGGCTAAGGTCCTCTCGCAGCCTGCGGTCCTGAGAGGATGGTGCCTGCTGCCGTCTCAGACCCAGTGGCCCTGCTTTTCCCTCCCTCGTCCACCCTCCGTGAGGTGGACTTTGGGGGGCTGCCTGATGGGGAGCTTCAGCTTCTCCAGGTGATGTGACCCATGAGGCTTAGGAAGGCCCAGAGGGTGAGTGTGACTGGAGAGGTGACTGGAGACCCCTTACCACCGCACTGAAAGGGGGAGGCCGGACCCAGACCAGCCCCCGGGCGGGAATGCAGACCCTCGTGAAGAGTGGGTGTGAGAATGAAAGGAGAGGCGCAGCGAAACAAAACACGGTAACAAGAAAGTTAAAGCTCAGTGCAATGCTGAACTCACCCCTTCTCCCGCCCAAACCCCTTCTTCTGTGCACACGTCATCCAAACCAACACTTGAGACGGGCCCCCGTGTGAGGCCGACAGCGTGCTGTGAGCGGTGCAGGCTGCTGCCGGCTCTCAGCCTCCTGGTCCACAGCACCTGTACGAGGAGGGGCTGTGCAGGCTGGAAGTGACATTCGTGTCGGGGCTTCAGCTATCTGGAGGGCTGTCACATGGGAGAGAGAGCAGCTTCAGAAGATACCACTCAGAAACTGAGTCGAGCCTAAGGAAAGAACACTAATGATTATAAGTGGGCCCAAACCACTTAAGAACGGGCTGTTTGTGAAGCCGTACTAGGACTTCTGTCACTGCAGGCATCGGGGCACAGACGGACGGAGCACGTCTGGGGTGTTCTAGGGGAGGGTCCCGCATTGTGCACCCTCTGGGACCTCTCCCAGTGTACACTTCTGAGTCTATATTCCTCGTATGCATTCGACTATGTACCTGGTATCTAATACATTTTCATAAAATGAACCTAAAAGTTCATTAGGCAGAAATTTGGGTGCAATCTCTATCCACCTCTGCAGCTGTTGTTTACTGTTTTTTGTTGTTGTTTACTCTTCACTTTTTTAAATGGAAAAATTAATACATACTTATGGTAAACAGGTCAGCAGACAAAGGGTGGGGTGGGCTTTTACACAAAAGGAGCTGAAACGACCATCTGACAGAGAAGAGTACATTCTCTGGTCATCACCTTCATGTAGTGTTTCCTGAGCCCTAAGAGCTCGTCATGTGCTCCCACAGAAAAAGGAAGAGCAGAAAAATCTGGTGACCCCTACCCTGAGGGGTGGCGATCACACCTCCTCTCACCCACTCAGGGCTGTTGGCCATGTACTAGAGTCACACAGCTAGATATTTATTATATGTTATGTATTTATTATATAATTATTACACATTATAAAGGTAATAACCACACTACACACATCATGAAACAGGAAACAGGATTACAGGTGAAATACCCTGCTGTCTCTTTCACAACTGCTGCTGGTACTTTAGCTCATTCCCTTCGAGTGGGTCGCGGGTGTGAGTGGAATAAGAACAAGCAACGCTGCGACAGCTTTTAATACGCTTTTAATGGTAACGGTTAGGATCACAAAATTTTACAGCCTATTTTTAAAACTAGATCATAAGCACCCAGGTCATTAAAGTTTTCAAGACCATCCCTTCTCAAGGATGTGCAAGGGCGAACGGTTTATAAAGATGAAGGTGAAACCATGTTAAAAAAAAAAAGTTTGCCAAAGGCTGAGAAAGCAGCAAAGGGAAAAAGTAACTTAAAATGTCAAGTGATTTAAGAGATCAGTTTTCAATTTTAAGATCAAGACTAATAGAGTAGAGGTGATGCAGCATCACAGTTACATCTTGTGGACACAGGCATAGCCACAGATCAAGGATCGTGCTATCGGCCACATACTTATAATGCTAAGTACCAGAACTACCTGGCCTGATAACCTAAATACCTTGACTTATTTTTCAGCCAAGAAGTAGCATATGCACATTAATAAATGCCAGTGCCTACAACATTTTGTAAAAACTCTGACTCTCTTTACTAATAATTTAGTAAGAATTCAATTTAATTGCAAGGAAAAGACATGGTCAAATATTTTTTGGAGAATTACTATATATTGATAACATCTTCTTAATAGCAGCTGCCATTTATCGACCTCTTACTGTGTGTCAGGCACTAAGATGCGCATTTTACACACGTATGTTACTGCAGGCCCTCTGCACACAATCTGGGGTGAGGGTGCAGCATAATCCTCTTACAGCTGAGAAACTGAGGCCGATCAGCACATGAAAAGATGCTCAATGTCACTAATCATTAGAAAAATGCAAATCAAGGCCACAGGAGACACCGCCTCACACCCACCAAGATGGCTACTGAAAACAAAAGCAAAAAAAACCCAAACCAGAAAACAACAAGTACTGGTGAGGACGAGAAGAAGGTGAAACCCTTGTACACTGTTAATGGGAATGTAAAATGCTGCAGTCACTGCATAAATAGTATAGAGGTTCCTCAAAAAATCAGAAATAGAATTGCCGTATAAAGTTACCATGTGATCCAGCAATTCCACTTCTGGGTCTATACCCACAAGAATTGAAAGCAGGGTCTTGAAGAGATATTTATACACCCATGTTCACAGCAGCATTACGCACAGTAGCCAAAAGGTGGAAGCAACCCATGTCCATCAATGGGTGAATGGATAAACAAAATGTGGTCCATCCATACAATAGATTATTATTCAGCCTTAAAAGGGAAGGAAATTCTGACGCCTGCTACAACATAGATGAACCTTGAAGACATGATGCTCAGTGAAATAAGTCAGTCACAGAAAAGGACAAATACTGTCCCTGGAGGAGTCAAATTCATAGAGACAGAAAGTAGAAGGTGGGGGCCAGGGTCTGTGGAGGGGGATGGGGAGTTAGTGTTTAATGGGGACAGAGTCTCAGTTTGGGAAGATAAAATGAGTTCTGGAAATGGATGATGGTGATGGTTGCACAATATGAATATGCTCGATGTCACTGAACTGTACACTTAAAAATGGTTAAGGTTGGGCTTCCCTGGTGGCGCAGTGGTTGAGAGTCCACCTGCCGATGCAGGGGACGTGGGTTCGTGCCCCGGTCCGGGACGATGCCACGTGCCGCGGAGCGGCTGGGCCCGTGAGCCATGGCCGCTGAGCCTGTGCGTCCGGAGCCTGTGCTCCGCAACGGGAGAGGCTATGACAGTGAGAGGCCCGCGTACCGCAAAAAAAAAAAAAAAAAAAAAAGGTTAAGGTGGTAAATTTTTTTTTTAAGGCGGTAAATTTTATGTTACGTGTATTTTACCACAATAAAAACAAACTGGAGGGAAAAAAATGAATTAGAGCTGTAACAGTGGACTTGGAGGAATTTCCAAGAGGTATTGTTGAATGAATAAGGCAAATGTAGGACAGTGTGTAAAAAATAAACAAAGCTAAATATGGTAGAGAGCTGTACAGAGGCTAAATTTGGAGCCAGCTGCCTTAGCCACAAGCTACCCTTACAACCTTGTGCAAAAGCTCCACAAGCCAACTTCACCTGCAATTTGCTTATTAAGCAAAGTTTTAAAAATTTATAATTGGGGGGCTGTTGCACAAAAGCAAGACAGGTCTTCCCCTGGGACAGCCAAAAACCTGTCTGCTTTTTCAGTGGGGAGACTGGTCCCAAGAGCCTTGTCTTGCCCTGGAGTCCTGCCACGTCACAGCCCCTTCCAGGCCTTTCTAAATCAAGGGGATGAGCGCCTACACACCAAGCTGAGGCAGCGTTTACCGATGAAGCTGAGGCCATGGTTCATTTTTAACATCAAGGAACAGGGCAGTCCTTTGTGTTGTCATTTCTAACCTCAAACATGCCACAAAAACAGCATGGAAACAAGACTGTCTGAGTGTATTAAATGGCCTGTGAGAGTAGTCCTTTGAGAAGAAAGGACTGTGGCTACTTTAAAATATTCATGGAGCACAAGTTCCCAGTTTCTCGGAAGAGTGGAGAATAGAGTCAAGACTACCACATAGCATCGCCAGCAACAAGTTTTACTTTTTAAAAGGGAGTAGGACATCTAGGAATTTCTGGTCCAGGTGCCTGGGCAGCTCAAGCTGGACAGTCTGGGTAACACTTCCTTGTCTTCTGGGGGTGAGAGCAGCACAGTGGGGAAAGCCAGCTGAGAACCAAAGCCTGCTTCAGAAACATGTCAGGGAATAACGATGACCTCATAAAGTAATTTTTCATTCAAAAATAAGGGCATTGTTTCCGAACATAAATCTCCCACTATTTCAAAACGCAGTCAACAAAAAGCCCCCCAAGTTTTGAAGAAGCAGAGCAAGAAGAACCTTCATAGAGGAAGTGATGTACGATTGGCGCTGCATATCAGTCTCAGGCTTCTGCCCGCAGCAATAGAACTGACAGCAAAGTCTATCCAGAAGTTTCATCTTTGGGGGGGCTGGTTTTCTACAAGGGTTTTGTCAAAGGCCCTTGTAAACCCTACTGATGAAAGAATTAGGTTGGGTTTAAACCAAAACACTGTGGCTAGGCAGAGCTGTTTCTTAGCTCAAGGTGGGGTTAAACATTTCTTCTGACACATGGCAGGGTATGATGCCAAGGGTAGCTTGGCAGCCCCAGGAAGCAAGCACCCAGTGCTGGCCGCCCACATAAGGCTGCTGGTCTCAAGGAGCCTTCACACCAATAGTAGGCAAGAATCCAGGAAGATGGGGTGGTGTGCAGCTGAGGGCTAACCTCCCTCACACTCAGATGTGTGTCATCCTGACATATCTAGAATAGAGGGCCACAAGGCCAGACCCATACTAAGACCCGTATAAGGGCACGTCCCAAAATTTGATAGCAGAACTGACAACTACAGTACAAAAAGGTCAGGTGGTATATGCTGGTTAGTTTTACGTGTCAACTTGACTGAGCTATGGCTGCCCAGGTAGTTTGGTCACACATTCTGGGTATGTCTGTGAGGGTGTTTCTGGAGGAGATTAACGTTTGAATCGGTAGGCTGAGTAAAGCAGATGGCCCTCCCCAGTGTGGGATAGCCTCATCCAGTTTGTTGAAAGCCTAAATAGAACAAAAAGGCAGAGCAAGAGAGAATTCCCTCTCTCCACCTGACTGTCCTTGAGCCGGGACGCGGGTCTCATGCCTTCAGACCTGGACGAGTACTAGGACTCTCACCAGCAGTCTTCCTGGTCCTCAGGCCTTCAGACTCAGACTGGAGCACACCGTCAGCTCTCCGGGCCCTGAACTACTCAGCTTCCATAACCCTGGGAGCCAATTCCTCATGATAAATCCCTTTACACATACACACATACCTTATTGGTTCTGTTTCCTTGGAGAACCCTCACTAATATATCAATATTTATTTTGTCATATGGACTGGGGTGTGTGTGTGTGTGTGTGTGTGTGTGTGTGTGTGTGTGTATTTACTACATATTATAGATACAAGTGATCAAACCAGTGAGAATTAAACAGTGGGTGGTAATAAATGGAAATTAATGTATCTGCCATGGTGGAAAGGAATGTTAAATGCAGAGAATTTCAGCCACTATCCAATACAAGTATTCCAGAGGGAGAGGTTGAGATTCATTTTTTTCCCATAGAGATATCCTGTTATTCCAGCACCATTTGTTTAAAAGACGGTTCTTTCCTGATTAAATCACTTTAGCTTCTTGCTTTTTTTCCTTTTTAAGTCAGGTTTATTGAGGTATGATTTACACACAATAAAACACACTCTTTTTAACTGTACAGTCTGATGAGTTTGGGCAAATGTACACTATAATTAAGATATAGAACATCTTCATCATCCCCCAAAGTTCCCTTATCCTCCCCCAACAGCCAGCTCCAGGCAGTACATAGTTCTATAGTCCTGCCCTTTCTAGAACGTCACATAGAGGGAATTATACAGGAAGTCGCCTCTTGTATTTGGCTTCCTTCACTTAGGAAGATGCGTTTGAGATCTGTCCAAGTTGTTGCTTGTGTCATTGCTGGGCAGTACCCCACTATACGGATATACCACTATCTCTTTATCCATTTACCAACTGATGAACTTTGGAGTTAGCTCCCTTTTTGGCTATTATGAAAAAAATTAATGTCAACTTTTTTTGCATACAGACTAGTTTTTTTTTATGCTGAGACTTTCAAAAAGTCAAAAAGATTGTATTAAAAAATATCAAGCAGATTTTTAACCTCCTGGAAGGTTCTGTAAGATCCATAACAGTAGATGTTCTGTAATAAAGCTTAGGGACTCTATTTAAAGACCAAACTGACCATCAAAATATGATACATAAATCTTAGATTATCAATACTTTTTCAATTATAAAATTTTACGGGCTCAAGTGATTATAGCAAGTTTGCAGGACACAAGGTTAATAAACAAAAGTCAACCACTTTCCTACATATCAGCAATGAACAAGTGGAATTTGAAATTAAAAACAGAATTCCATTTATGAGCAGCCCCCAAAAGAAAAACACTTAGTATAAATCTAACAAAATATGTACAAGATCTATATGAGGAAAACTACAAAATTCTGATGAATGAAATCATCAGAAGAACTAAGGAAATGAAGAGATATTCCATGTTCAAAGTGCTAAAGGATAGGAAGACTCAATATTGTCAAGATATCCATTCTTCCCAACTTACAGATTAATCCCAACCAAAATCATAGCAAGTTATTTTGTGGATATCAACAAACTGTTTCTAAAGTTTATATGTAGGAGCCAAAGACCCAGAATAGCCAATACAATATTGAAGGAGAAGAACAAAGCTGGAAGATTGATGCTGCCCGACTTCAAGATTTACCATAAAGCTACAGTAATCAAAATGGTGTGGTACTGGCAAAAGCATGGAGAAGCAGATCACTGGAACCGAACAGATAGCTCAGAAACAGACCCCCATATGGTCAGCTTATTTTTAACAAAGGAGCAAAGGCAATACAAGGGAGCAAAGACAGTCTGTTTCTGTAACAAATGGTACTGGAACAACTGGATATCACGTGTAAAAAAAAAAAAATTAAAAGAAAGAATCTAGACACAGACCTTCAAAAAAACTAACTCAAGGGCTTCCCTGGTGGCGCAGTGGTTGGGAGTCCACCTGCCACTGTGGGGGACGTGAGTTCGTGCCCCGGTCCGGGAGGATCCTGCGTGCCACAGAGCGGCTGGGCCCGTGGGCCGTGGCCGCTGGGCTTGCGCGTCCGGAGCCTGTGCTCCGCGGCGGGACGGGGGGTGCCGCAGCAGTGGGGGGCCCACGTACCGCAAAAAAAAAAAAACAAAAAAACACTAACTCAAGATGGATAATAGACCTAAATGTAAAATGCAAAACTATAAAACTCCTAGAAGGTAACACAGGAGATAACCTAAATGACCTTGTGTATTGTGATGCCTTTTAGACACAACATCAAAGACGATATCCATGAATGGAATAACTGTCCACACAAAGATGTGTACAAGAATATTCATTGTCGCTTTACTCAAAATAGCTACAA